CAAGGCTTTGCTCCCCGTCTCCCTGGTCTGACCAGCAGACCAGGGAGATGGGGAGCAAAGCCTCGGAGCACGCCAGCAGTGGGACAGCCATGGCGCGCCTGGACTGTCCCGCTGCCCGCCTGCTCTGCAGCTTTGCTCCGCATCTCCCAGGTCAGCAGTTGTTCTGCCCCAGGCTTCCTGGAATCAGCCGCTGATCAGTTTCAGCAGCAGCTGACTTGGGGACGCCTGGGGTTCTTAAGTTGAATCTGTATGTAACTCAGAACTGGCGTCCAGATTCAGCCGCTGTTGAAACTGATCAGTTTCAGCAGTGGCTGACGCCAGTTCCGACTTACATACAGATTCAACTTAAGAACAAACCTACAGTCCCTATCTTGTACGTAACCAGGGGACTGCCTGTACTTGCAGAATTTTCTGGAAAAGCTGTGTCCCCTTTTGGGGGTTTGGAACCAGAGTGGTCAAGCATTTCCCCCCTATCTGCTCCCCTAAGTTCCCTGTAAGTTATGTATGTGGTTGGGGCAGCAATTCAGCTAGCCCCTCTCCCCCCACTGCTCAACTGCTCCTTCCCTCTGCCTTGGAGCTGCTGCCTGGAGCCTGCTGCTTGGTGTGCATGGAGGGAGGGGAAAGGGGTATTGATGTTAGGATGTCCCACCTCCCCTCCCTCTTTGAATTCCCCACTCAACCCCATCTCAACAAAGCAGGATATCACAGCTACTGTGTTGTGTCTGGATTTCCTGGTCTACTTAAGGGTCATGTACTTGAAGTGGGGCTCTGCATACTTAAAGGGGCTTTGCATCTCTCTGTATGCCTCTCTCTCAAATACACACAGTGTATGCATCTGTTTCTCAGTCACACAGTGTGTGCATCTTTGTCTCACACACATACACACTCCTTGGCACTGTGGAACTGTGTATGCACCATCCGAAGGAGAGAGCGGTGCGCTCCAGCAGGATAGCGTGGGTTCATCAACTGGCCAAATAGCCACATGGCTAGTGGATAGCAAGAAGGATACCACGGCCCTAGAGTGTGAGGCTACATTAACGTGTTAACCCTCAAAGTAGGGATGTGACAGTGTGTGTATCTAAACAGTTAATCAATGAGCCTGAGCTCATGGGTTAACCTTCATGGACACACTTCAGGCCACTGGAAGGAAGAAGTGCTGCCTGGTAAAATTCACTCACCACCAAACCGTAGCTGCTTCTAGGGGTCTGACAGAATTGCTGGGCCCCTGGACAATGTGAGAGAGGGTGGCTCCATATTCTCAGAAAGTGTGTGGTTGAAGCAGCTAGCCCTCAGCTCCACCCAGAGTGCTTCCTCCCCCAGCAAGTCCTCAGAGTAAAAAAGTAATAGAATCTGCAATTTCTTAGACAAACAACCAGCTTCAATAATCTGCATCCTACCCATGTCTGCAACCTTGAGCCTGTGCTTCTTTTAAAGATGATTCTCTGTTTTAAAATCATTAAAAGCTTTAAGGAAATACTTTCCACTAGAAATTTAGTCAGTTTCAAAAGGTTAGGTTAAAATATTTTCCGATACTGCTCCTACTCCCAATGATCATTGCCATTTTTGTAGATTTTATACTCATGTTTTCCTATTTCTTAAATGTTTTTCTATTCCATGTCACTGTGGGAGAAGACCCCTTAAGGAGTGGTGAGATCCACTGACCTACAGTATAATTAGGATGTAATTATTTTAAAAACAAGTTCTACTTGAAATTGCTAGTGATATCTCTATTAGAGTGACTATTTACGTGGGTCTGTCTAAGGAGTTGGATTTAGTCCATCAAAATACTTCTCTGAAAACTAAAATGTCAGGTTTAGCAGTGGAGTCATATTATGGTTTGCATAAGAAATTGTGTTCGGAACATTTCCATTAGCACCAGGATCTATTCTTGGGTTTTTCTTTTCTATTTTTGTTGTTAACCTTCCATCTCCAGTGTTTTCTCCTAAGTACATATGTATGCCATTAATATAGTATTGTCTTACAGTAGCTCATCCTTGCTGGAGGCATAATTCTTTTCCAGTGACTTGAGTTGAAGTGAAATAAAAACCAAACACATGATTTTTTGGTTCACCTCCCAAACTATAGAAACAGCTGGTCTCATTAATGATTAACACAGTAGCTTGTGGCTCAAAGTAGATTTGGAAAGAGCTTTGGGACATCTCCCTCCTCAGTTAACTACTGGCTTAATAATTTTATATTAATATTTATAACACCTCACTTTAGCATACATTTTTAAATTCTAAATCAAGTATTTTTTCAGATTAAATTTCTGCCTTTATTCATCTAAGACCAATATGGATGCAAATCATAGATACTGTAAGACTTTGTGACATTGTTATTTTAGTAGTGGTTTACAGCACCCAATAGCACAGGTACAGTGTTGGTTTTATGATGCTCTTCTATTACAAATATTTTACATGGGTCTATAGTGCATTTAATATTTTCTAAAGTCAGTTTATCAACTAAATGGTCACATAATTAGGAAACAGCTCAATTCCTTTTAACAGTCAAGAGATTCTTGCTTCTTTTTTTTTTTTTTAAAACTTCAATAGATGTTGACTCAAGCTGATCACCTTGTTACATTAATAGTTTTCAGCATTGTTAACATTCCTATATGGTTACAAAATGATTTTTCTTTACACTATGCTATGATCATTTTTTTATTTGAATGACACAGTGACAAAAAAGATATAAATTTTATGAATGTAAATAGAATTTCTGCTCTAGGATTTTCCTATTACATTAATGTCTTGCAAAAGAAACAGAAGGATTGTTTTTGAATAGGTATTCCCATAATTAAAGAACAAAATATTTTTACACTGCAGAATTATAAACACTAAATAAACATTATCAGATGCTATTTTCATATGCCAATGGTGGCTACAAATCTTAAAGGAAAGCCGCTCCTTTCTGTTGCCATTCTGGATAAATATTATAGGGAGGTGTTTGGGTTTTAATTTGATTTTCTTTAACTGTATCATGATTTCAAGAATCTATGCTAATCTGTGAAGCATTTTGGCTTTCAGAAATACCTGTTTGTTCTGCCATCCTAGCTAGATTAGCATATCTGTGATACAAGTAATTTCCCCCATATTAAGAATAACAAACAGATATGAAAACTCACAGGTGTGGTGATTATTGGTGACCACTCTTGTGTTGAAAGTAGAAGATAACTGTGTGTGGATATTATTGGTAGGTTATTTACATGATATAACATATATATGTATACAAGTTTGTATTTTTTCTTCTCACTTGCATGTTTTATTAAGAGTGTGCAGCAAATATTATTTTTGTGCTTTTCCCCCCCGCCCCTTTCCTGTTTTCATTTACTTGAGTGGTTTATGTTTCCTTTAGAGATTCGAGCTCAACTGATAGAGCAGCAGAAATGTCTGGAGCAGCAAACTGAAATGAGGGTGCAACTTCTTCAGGACCTGCAGGATTTTTTCCGCAAGAAAGCAGAAATAGAGACGGAATATTCTCGCAATCTAGAAAAATTAGCAGAAAGGTTCATGGCAAAAACAAGAAGTACAAAGGACCATCAACAGTACAAGTAAGAGAGTTTCTCATACTCAAACTCAATTGACTTTCTAGTGTTGGAAGTGGTTTAGGTTATATAATTTGTCAAAAGTTCAAATACTTTATTATGAGTCCTCTCCCTGGCACTTTGTTTCTGTTAACTTGTGGTACTGTCAAGTTAGTGGCTATTCATTGAGTATGATGACAGAGTGTTTCAGTCTTTTCAAATTTAAGTTGCACATGTAATATTATGTGAAAAGGAATTGTTGGGGAAACAATGTGATGCACACCTCTGGATATGCAAAGCTATATATGCTGATTGTTGTAACAGATTTTTCAGAATTTGACAAGCCCATAATAAATGCTGATCAGCCTTCCAAGAGATGCCCGGAAAAGGTTAAAAAAAAAGAGGCGGGGGGAGTAGGAGAGGGAAGCTTGCGATGTTGCTTATGTTGTTGCATATGGGTTTTGCTGCCAATTGATTGCTGCTATCCTTAACAACAAGGATATATTTCATACATGGATAAAGGTTGTATATGTATGTGCATGGAGTGTTGTAACTTTTTGTGCACTGCAGAAGTGGTCAGATAATATTTATCAAGTAATATATTCAGTATATTTTGGAAAATATTTTAAATTTTGTTGAAATAAAATAGGCTATTTGCCTAGTTTACAGAGCTGGTTGAATAATTCATGAATATATTTGACTAATTTATGTGTGTGTGTGTATATAAAACAAAATTAGCTCATTCAAACCATTTCACAATGAATCCAAATACCAGTGAATTATTAACATAAGAGCCAATGGCTGGACGCAGAAGATAGATCAGACTAAAATTTAGAGCAAATTTTTAACATTTCGAAACAAGACCTGAAGCTACTTGTCAAGGGATGTGGTAGAATTTCAAAGGGCTTGTCTTCATTACTGAACTGTATTGGAACCCCTGTGATTGATAGAAAAACGTTTGTTGAGCAGGACTGGTGAAGATGTGATAAGGCAGTGGAAGAGCACTCACCCATCAGAGGCCACCTTTCTAATGGCTGGTAACTGGACCCCTGAGGTCCTTCCCCATCTCTTCCCCTAAGGCCCCATCCCTGCTACACTTCTTCTGAAGGCTCTGCCCTCTCCCATCCCACTCTGCTTCTTCCCTCCAATCCCTGCCTCCATTGCATTTGCCTCTCCACTCTGCCTCTGTTGCTGGGTTGTCTCAAAGAGTTTCCCTATAAGTAGGAGGTGGCCCCAGCTGAGCATGAGCTGGCAATAAACCAGTGCCACCCCCTGCCCTGCAAAATCTGGACTTTTGGTTCAGATGTCATTTAGGGTTGCCAGGTGTCCTTTTCAACCAGAATTTCCAGTCGAAAACCAAGCACTTGGTAACCCTAAATGTCACCTGTACACAGAAGCCAAAAATCGACTGACTGGGTAAAACCTAGATGGGTGACAACCCTACCACACTAGGACTTTTGTCAGCATAGGAATGTTCTGCTAGGGATGTGATTTTTTTTTCTTGACATTCTTAACCAACATAAATATGCAATCAAAACTTGTAGACCAGGTTTCATTTCTAGCACTCATGGTTGCAGAAGACAACTTTATACTAAATGCTCTAACATCAAAAGGCAAATAAAAAGAATCTTTTAAAAAATGTTTCAAAATAGTTCCATGCCTTTTCAGGATTGTGATTTTCCATTCATGGGGGCTGGTATTTGGTCTTTAAATCAGGATTGTATGTCTTCCTAAAAGAAATGCTGTAGCTCAATCAGAAATTATGATCTTGACAAAGGAATTACATGGTAAGGTTCTATGAGCTGTGTTATTATCTGCATGATAGTGGTTACTTCTGGCTTTAAAATATATGAACTAGCAGGATATTTTTATACTATCTATTTGAAGATCTTTGTAAGTGAGTTTAATTTAGTTCACCTACCTTGTCAAATATAAGAGAGGTTTTTGTGTATTCTTTGGCAAGTCAGATCTAAATCCTTCACAGAGGGCCACTGATTTTTGCAATTCCACCTTCTGCTGGTGTTTTTAAGTGAATATGTATGAAAATGAATGATATAATTAGTACGATAGTCCTGGTAGTAATACTGTAATAAATTGATTTACTTTACATTGTCCCCATAACTTCACTGTGCCACCAATTTTTGTAGTACCAAAAATAACTTTGTTGTGTAAATGATCAAGGAGGAAATGCAGGTTTTTACAGCTGGGTAGTACTAATTGAGGCTCTTGTATAGAGAAGGGGATATAATTTCATTCTTTTCTGGTGTTTGGCATCACTAAAATTAAAAGTTCAGGGATGTTTGAATTCATGATTTCCTCCTCCAGCACCCTTGACAGCAACCTGAATTTTAAATTGTTCTCTGTGGTTTTCTAGTTAACACTGCCGAGATGAATAGGGCAGTTCATTGCACTCATAGCTATTATTCTTTACTGTATGCAGATTTGGCACAGAAACCACTTTATTGGTTACATTTGATTCATGTCAGGAAAGTTTTCTTTAACTACAATTGGTCTGGACTGAATATTCTATATTCAGATGAAATCCTGATGCCACCAAAATAAATGGCAACATTTCCATTGAAGGTGAATGGAGCCAGGGTTTCATGCATATGTTTTAAGGCTAGGGACCACAATAATAATCTAGTAAGAGCTCCATCATAACACAGGCCATATGATTTCAGTGCAGTAGTAATTCCTGCATCAAGCCCAGAAGCTCAGAACACCTGGGTGAGTTCATACTGTGATATTCCCATCAGGCCTGCGTGCCTAATGGCTGGCTTTAGAAAAACGTCTCCTCTTGATTTAGCAGTTATCAGTGATGGAGAATCTACTATGGCCCTTGATAAATTATCCCAGTGGTTAATTACTATCGCTGTTAAGAATGTGCCTCTTATTTTTAATCTGAATTTCTCTAATTTCTACTTCCAGCCACTGGATCGTGTTACGCCTTTTTCTGCTAATTTGAAGAGCCCATTATTAAATGTTTGTTCCCCATGTAGATACTTGCAGATTGTAATTAAGTTACACCTAGCCGTCTCTTTGTTAAACTACAGTCCATCCTTGCTATAAGTCCAAGGTATGTTCCAAAAAACTTGGACTTCTAGCAAAACAACTTAAAATGGGGAATGTTTTTCCTGCAGGTCACTTCCATTTGCACTTTTTTTTTGGGAACGACTTTAACGGCAGGGAATGGGAGGACTTATAACCCACCAGGCCCTACAAGCGTCAATGATGTGTGGGATGGATGTATATCAGGGTGACTTATAGCAGGGACATCCTGTACATAGATACAGTCAATGAGCTTTGAGTCTAAGGCAGATTTTCTAATCCTTTAATCAGACTCATGGCTCATCTCTGAACCCTCTCCAATTGATTAATACTATTCTTGAACTGCGGGCACCAGACTAGATATAGTATCCAGCAGCTATCACCCTAGTGCCAAATAAAGAAGTAAACCTATCTGCTCCTACGTGAGAGTTTCCTGTTTCTGCATCTCGGGATCACGTTTGTCAGACTGGGTCCTCATGTTCAGCTGATTGTCTACTCCAAAATCTTTTTCAAACTCACTGCTTCCCAGGATAGAGTACCTGACTTATAAATGTGGCTTATTCTGACTTCTTCTATTTTTCTCTTGTGATGCTCCATTCCCATTCTGCCTAGAGACTCCACCTCTACTCCATCCTTTTCCCCAAGTCCCGAGCCTTGTTCACCTCTTCCCTCTCCCCCAAGAATACCACCTCCTTTCTGCTCCCCCTTCTCCTCCAAATCCTTCCCCCAGCTGATTGACGGTGCCACATATTCGCTATGGCTAGTGGGTGCTGAGGTTACGCTAACCTCCGAACACCCATGTAGTCAGTGCCTATGCATTTAGCCATATTAAAATATGCATTGTTTGTTTGTACCCAGTTTACCATCAAATCCAGATTGCTCTGAATCAGTTACTTGTCCTCTTTGCTAATTATCACTCACCCATTTTTGTGTCTTCTTCAAACTAGATAATCTAATCATAGAATCATAGAACTGGAAGGGACCTCAAGAAGTCATCAAGTCCAGTCTTCTGGACTCATGGTGGGACTAAGCATCATTTAGGTCATCCATAACAGGTGTTAACCTGCTCTTAAAAATCTCCAATGATGGAGATTCCACAACCTCTCTAGGCAATTTATTCCAGTGTTTAACCACCCTGACAGTTAGGAAGTTTTTCCTAATGTTCAAATAAACCCTCCCCCTTTCTACAATTCAAACCCATTGCTTCTTGTCCTATCATTAGAGGTTAAGGAGAATAATTTTTCACCCTCTTCCTTGTAACAACCTTTTAGGATATATCAAAGTCCACTATAAAAAGACTGTCTGCAAGATTTTTTTTAACCAATACGTTGTATTAGATGTTAATGCACATACACACACAAAAAAAATAAACAAACAAAAACCTTGAAATGTCAATATTGTGGTTTTTAGATCATTTAGTAAATAATAACTGAACTAACTTAATTGGTATATTTTGGGTTTTTAATAAAAAGTTTGATAAATTACATGTGATTTAAATACTCAGAATGGGATGGGGATAGAAACGGACTGAAATGGAATTCAGAGATGCTGAACTATTGAAAAACAGCATTATCCTACCTACTTTGGGTCAAGTTTTTGATATTTGCAGATTGGTCGTAATGATACGAATTCTTGTACTTTTTTCTATTTGTACCTCATAGAGTTTGAAAATATGCCTTAAAATACTATCTAAAGCTTGACTAACCATATGTACTTCAGGAATAGATGACTGACTATTCAGAAAACAATGTGTAGGTACAAATTCTGAATTTGCTTTATTCAGAAGAGTAACCCTGTTCACTTCTATGGGATTACTTGCAAAGATAAAAGGAGCAGGGCTTGACTTCTAACATTTATCCTGGCAGATGCATTCTTTCTTTATGAAGATCAGTTGTTCTTTAAATTAAACTTAAATTGTTGGGTTCATGTTTATGTATATCTGATGGAGGATGGGTGTGGCAGGGAGATATTTCAGATATTTTAATTATGTAACACATATATGTATACACTCTTTAGGAAAGACCAGAATCTCTTATCTCCTGTGAATTGTTGGTACTTACTCCTAAACCAAGTGAGAAGAGAAAGCAAAGACCATGCAACTTTGAGCGATATCTATCTCAACAACGTTATCATGCGCTTCATGCAGATAAGTGAGGATTCTACCAGAATGTTCAAAAAGGTAATATATATCATGTTGAATTTCAGTTACCATTGAAAGGGAAGTGTCTAACAAGTAGCATTTTATGGGAAGAGTCAGCAGCATAGTGACATAGACATTAATAATTTTTTTCGTGGCATTTTTCACTGCAGATGTATTGGGGAATATATTATGTGATCTCGAGAACTGTAGTTGTAAATTCAGGAATTGAGGAAGATGCCCTATTCCTTGTTCCATAGTGTAGTCAGGCAGGAAGGAGAAAACAGTTCAGCATAGAAGGGACAGAAGAGTATTGAGTTATTTGCAGAAATGCTGTATGGCTATAGTTGTTCTTTATGTAGAGACACAGCTGTGGATTCCACTTAGGTATGGCAACTCACCTAACAGCTGTGCCCAATTCACCAGAGCCAGAGAATTTTGCATAGCAGTACTCCTTTTTTTTTTTTTTTTTTTTTTTTTCTTAGAGAAGTAGCGCTTGTGTCTTGTGACCATAGTTCCCTCCCTTGGCTATATGAAGCAGCACCACTCCAATCCTTCTCATTTCCTTCTTGCAACCAATGGCTGGAGTTGGAGCTCTGTGTGGTTTTCACCCCACAATCTCTCTATTTCCTGATGACTTCTTTAGTTGCATATAGTTAATTAGTGCCTTTGGTATCCCATTGGTGTTAGTTTAAGTATTTCCCTGACAGTGCTCTCACCATGGTGCTTACTGTGTATAAGGGCCCTCTTCAGTACCAGAAACTTTGTCAGCTCCCCTGCTCTTGTTCCTGTGATGGCAGTTGCTGCCCTCCACTTTGGACCATCTGTTATCTCGGCACTGTTGCTGATGTCATGGTTAACACCACTTCCAGCACTGGAAATGATAGTGTCATCAGGGCCATTTTCACCATCTTTGCCAATTTCCTTTCCATTCTGGGTAGTGGAGGGGTCTGACCAGTTGCTCAGACCCTCAGGGCTGACTTCTCCTTCATACCTTGAAACCTGGGACTCTTCAGTGTTCAGGTTGGCATCTTCCTCCTCTTTCTCTCCATTGCCTGACCTGCATCAGGGGCTGTTCATGGAGCACCGTGGGTACAGGAGTGGCTCTTATTGAGACAGGAGTTCCTTGCCTGCACCTACTGGCCATCAATGCCCTACCCGTGGTCTCTGTGGAATCTATCAGAAGTTCCTCCATTGCAGAGGTCCCACTCCTCAGTCAGACTCAAAAGTGAGATCACTGGCCAGCTGCTGATGATGGTGACTGTCAATCTACCAGAAGCCTAGACATGGCTGAACCTCTTGAGTCATCCCACCTAAGCCTGCCTGTCCTGAAACAGGATCAAGCATTGGCAGAGTTTAGCTGCTTCTTTCTCATGCAAAAACAATTTTATGGAGCCTGCTTTTCTTTTTCTTCAGTATCGAAGGATTTCAGAGTGTACCAAAACCTTTTGAGGCACGTGGCTGCTATCTTGGGTATTCCAAGTTCCTGGAGGAGAACACCCATAAATTGTTGGATGTCCTGCATCTGAATGCCCTGGAAGAGGGTGTCCTCACTATTATATACTCCTACGGCCAGCTAAAATGCTCTGGAATATGCGAGCTTTGGTACTGCCTACATGCAAATCCCGGGGGAAGAATATACCCCCATTTCACTGCAGGGATTTGAGGGGTTTTACTCCTATCCAGACCCAAATTCCTTGCTCGTAACTGCGATGAAAAATAGAGCCTGCATTTCAGGACAGATTTAAGTCCACTCCCAATAATAAGAACTCTAAATGAATGGACTTCATGGGTAAGAGAATTCACATTACCTCCTTGCAGATGCAGATAGACAACCAGAAGGCACTGCTATCCAAATACAGCTTTGTCAATTGGGTGATTGTCTAAGGTTGCAGTTTTTCTGATTTTCTCGTGCTGTCAGTTCAGCTTCCCATATCCTTTCCTCTTCATCTCAACATACTCACACAGATGCCTGCTCACACCTTGTATCCCATGCTCAGCACTCTGCATCTCATGATGTGGCTGCTTCATTGCTGCATGAGGAGGAAGTACAATGTTTGGAGGCTGCTCAACAAGTCCTGCTAAATAGTAGAAAGCCATCTACCAGAATGGACTGTTTGATAAAATGGAAGCCATTTTTATTATAGTTTTTGGCCCCCGGAATTCAACTGATGCTGGTTTCCGTTCAGGACATCTTGGAATATTTTTTGCATCCTCAGTTGTTGGGTCTGTGTGTAACTAATTGAGAGTACAAATGGCAGTGACCTCAGCATTTCGACTCTCCATTCAGGGAATATCAATCTTCTCTAATGCTGTGGTAACAAGACTCTTAAAAGGGCTTCTTTATCTCTATCCTCTGGTTTGACAGCTAGCTCCTTTGTGTGACCTTAACACTGCCTTATAGCTTTATTTGGACCTCCATTCAAGTCTTTGGCATCTAGTCCCTTTCTGCTTTTTGTCACAAGACTGTTTTCCTGGTAGTAATAACAGCCTCAAGGAGAGTCTCTGTGAGTTGCAGGCTCTGATGACACAGCTTCGTTGCACACAGCTCTCCAAAGACAAAGTGACTGTGACATTCTATGCCTTGGGAGAGCGCTGTATAATCCCCACAGTCCTCATTATACATTATACAGAATTATGATAGTGCATATAAAGCATGCCATATGAGGTATCGGGGGAAAGATTATGATCTGGTGAAAGTCATTGTATCTAAATATGTGTATCATTCATTCACGTGAGTCTCTAGCTCCCTAGAGGCAACAACAAGGAAAATAACCAATGCCCAGGTGGGTGTCGAACAACCATCAACAGCCATTGTCCAGCAATGGAATTATAATGCAACAATTCACTGGTACAAGGCCACTTCAGGGGGATTTCTTAACCTTGCCTAGTGACTCCTCAGTGCCCGTCAGACATGCTTGCACTTGAGTTCTCCAAGTACATGGAATAAGGGTATGAAACAGAACACAGTGACCACGTGCTTCGCCACACCTATGCTATAACTAGCAACAAGAATACTTAGAAGCCTGAACACTCCAACAGATAGTGACATCTGTGTACTATGAATGGTAATATCTAGTGGGGTGAGAAAAACTGCTTAATCTGTTGCCCAGTCTAATAGGGTTCAGAATTTAGACTGTGTGATAATATTTAATTTTTCTTTTGGTAACTATGATTTTTGCCTATCCCTTATAGTCACTTAAAATCTATATTTTCAGTAAGATACACTGCTCAAAAAAGAACAAATTTAATACAATACTTTTCTGCGATACAAGGCTGAGAGCTGGGGGAATTTGACTCGTACTTCTCTGTGTGATTCAGGAGTGGCTTTGGGAGCATTCATATCCTCTAGCTGGATGTAGGGTGCCACATGCAGTAGTGCTGAATGAGAACAGCACCTGGAGGGGTTTGCTGCCTGTCACTAACAAACCACTATGAGAGCAAGCCCACACTGTATAGTTAAGGGGGCATAATGGTCCTACAGTCCCAAGATGCACCTCAGGGATCCCTCCCAACTGACTTTGACTGCACTCTACATTTTTGTCTAAAGTGGTTTCTCACTTTCATTTAAACCAGCGGCTATATTTCCCTGTGTTCTTTTCTAAGCCACATTCATCTCTGGAAGAGCAGCTTCTTCATACACTGAGAGTATGTCTAGACTACATGGCTCCGTCAACGGAGCCATGTAGATTAGGTTTCTAGACATAGGAAAATGAAGCGACGATTTAAATAATCGCCGCTTCATTTACATCAAAAGGGCCACTGCGCTGTGCCGATCAGCTGTTTGGCGGCACAGCGTGGTAGTCTGGATGCTCCGTGGTCGACAAGGAAACCCTTGTCGACCACCCCGTTATGCCTCGTGGAATGAGGTTTACCACAGGAGTTATTTAAATCGCCACTTCATTTTCCTGTGTCTAGAAACTTAATCTACATGGCTCCAACAAAGGAGCCATGTAGTCTACACATACCCTGAATGGCAGGCAATATCTAGCCTCCTCTCTGGACAGGAATAAACTGTTTTGTGCTCTACATCATGGCCTGTTTCCATCAAATACAGATCATATGAAGGGACAAGCAGTATCTTCACAGATTATCTATGAATGGATAACATTTTCTAATAAGACTGCACATGACATAGCTTTGGCTACACCTCCACAGTGAGAACAACTTTATCCTATGGGAGTGAAACCAACATCAATAGCATTTCTCAGTGATGTCTCAATAGTAGACACTTGCAGGGCTGCTATGTGGTCAGCCATACGTTTATAAACCATTGTGCCATAATTGGATCTTCCAGGGTGAACACAAGTTCTGATAGGGTGATATGGAAATCCTTGCTTAGGTACATTCCAAGCCCTGCTTTCTGAGGGAGAGGGTGGATATTGTTTTTAAGTCACCCAAGTAGAATACATATCTGTATCTACCCAAAGAAGAAGGAGAAACAGCATTGGAGTCTCTGGGCATTTGGAGTGAGGGAACTGAGGCGGGGCGGGGGGGGGGGGGGGGGGGAAA